CGCTGGTGTCCTACTCGCTGGTGGAGCGGCGCGTGGGCGAGCGCGCGCTGTCGAGCTACGTGTCTGTGCACGCGGAGAGCGGCAAGGTGTTCGCGCTGCAGCCGCTGGACCATGAGGAGCTGGAGCTGCTGCAGTTCCAGGTCAGCGCGAGGGACTCTGGTGTGCCTGCCCTGGGGAGCAACGTGACTCTGCAGGTGTTCGTGCTTGATGAGAATGACAATGCGCCCACGCTGCTGGGGCCCCAGACCAATGGTGTGTTGAGCGAGATGGTGTCGCGATCAGTGGGCGCTGGCCACGTGGTGACGAAGGTACGTGCAGTGGATGCTGACTCTGGCTACAATGCGTGGCTGTCTTATGAGCTGCAAGATTTCGCGGCTGGTGCACGCAGCCCATTCCGCGTGGGTCTGTACACTGGTGAGATCAGCACAACTCGTGCCCTGGATGAGATGGATGCGCCACGCCAGCGACTGTTGGTGCTGGTCAAGGACCATGGGGAGCGAAAGCTGACTGCCACTGCCACCGTGGTGGTGTCTCTTGTGGAGAATGGCCGTGCCCCGAAGGTATCTTCAAGGGCCTTGGTGGGCAATGGGAGTACTGAAACGGCCTTGGTGGATGTGAACTTGTACCTGATCGTCGCTATCTGCACTGTGTCCAGCCTGTTTGTGCTCACGCTGTTGCTGTACTCTGCACTGCAGTGCTCTACACCCCACGAGTATATGGGCGGGCCTGGGAAGCCCACGCTGGTCTGTTCCAGCGCGGTGGGGAGCTGGTCATTCTCGCAGCAGAGGGGGCAGAGGGTGTGTTCTGGGGAGGGCCCACCCAAGACAGACCTTATGGCTTTCAGCCCTAGTCTTCCTCCTGTTCTGGGTTCTAAAGAGGAAACACACCAGGACAATGAGCAGGCAGAACTCTCGAAAGAGGTAAAGTATTTTATTTTATTTTTATCATGTCATAGAAGTGCTAATTTTAATTTAATTTGAAGTTTTTATTTTTAAAATTTTTATTCATTTTAATGAGAAAAAAGATAAAGTAGCAATGAAACAGTTTCTAAACATGTTAGTAGGACATTTACAATAATTAATATATTGCATATTGTCTTCATAGTAGTTATTCAGAGGACAACATGCTGAGATGATACCTTGTCTAAACAATATTAGTACAAACTTTTATTCTCAGTGAACTAAAAGTAGCTGTATATCTATCCTAACTCTCTTGTGTATACATACATATAAATATATTTTTTCTTCCCTTTTTTTCACAACAAAACTGTCCTTTAGTTACACTTTTGTGAAGTTCGTAACACCTGACACTAGGTTGCCTTGCAACTGACAGCTAACTTTAACAGACAGGGTGTTCATCTCAGGAGTGAGGTGGCTTGTTTACTTTAGGCACTGGGCCAAGTCCCATCTATATATATTTGATCGATCTCCTAGTAAGCTCCTATTTTAATGTATTGTTTAAATGAAATCTTTGAGCTTTCCTAACAGTTGCTTATTTAGAACATCTTTAACCTCACTTTTGTAATTATTTTGGAAGTTAATTTTAGCCTCTCTGATCCTCTTTGTCTCTGATGGCTGGTTACTGACATTTGTGTTGGATTATTTTTCATAGTGAAATGCAAGCCAGAAGCATAATGAAATGTCCAAAACTGGAATACATCTTTTGTTGCAGTTTTAAGGGTTCTAAGTATTTGTTGTATTTTAAGCCCTTACAAAAAGTGAAACAAAACTCAATGTTGTGAGAATGTAAAGTTTATTTTTAAATTTTTGTTGTTGATACAGGGTCTTGCTATGCGGTTTGGACTTATAGTGATCCTCCTGTCTCAGCCTCCCTAGTGCTGGGATTCAAGGAATGCACCATCATGCTTGGTTTGGGGTGGGCACCCCATGCGGTATCAGGGATAGAACCCAGAACCTTGTGTTTGCCCATCAGGTGCTTAGACCACAAAGTTATCTCCCCAGCTCGAGAACACAAAAGTTTAAAACAACATTGTTTTGATGAGGTTAATTTTAATTTGAAATTTTAAAATATATGTAATTAATATATACATACGACCATGTGCATGAATTGTTTCAAATAGCTTCATTACTTTTCGTATAAATGCCTGCTTTTCAATGTGAAAGTTTTCTTTTTTGTAAAATAGTCATTTTGGTTGGTTCCTCCTTTCATATCCTCTAGGCATATTACTGTTCATCTCTACGGTATCCTATAAGAAACACCCTGTGGGTTTTTTTTTTTTTGCACACACAGATGCATATATATCCAACAAATAAATATTTTTTATATTTCGATTTGGACATTTAATACATTATGAATTTCATGTCTCTCATTCAACAGTAATTGTTGAAAATCCTGAAAATTTGATGATTTAATAGATATGTAGCATTCAAATAATGTGGATACAGCACTGTGTATTTGGTGATACAGGAGGAAACATGTGGTTTCACTGGTGTTTCATTTTGTATTACCTGTAATGAAAGAATGCATTGAACTATAATTTTCTATATCACCTAAATCCTGGTGATTTTATTTCTATGAAACCATTATGTATGGAATTCTTGCAAAGAAAGCATTAAGAATTTTAATTTAATATTTTTCACTGAATTGTCTTAAAGAATTTTATAGTTCTTTGAATTTCCACCAACTAGTAATGAGAACTCTCCTTTTTATCTCATGGAGCATGAGTTCTTATTTTTTTCCCATATAATTTCCTTAAAATGTCTCATTCTCATTCTAATTTTTAATTCCTATATATCACCATTGGATTTGAGTATATTATCAGTAATGCTTTGTTGACTTGGATTTTGATTTTCTTTAATTTATCAATTAAACTACACATTTTGTATTGAAAAATTTGGCTTTTTGTGATTACTATATGCAATATAAATCACAGTTGTTGACTACAACTCAAATGTGATTTTCTCTTGTTGACTACAACTCAATTTTCTCTTAAATCATTTATATTAATTTGTTTTTAGTATATTTTGTCATATAAATGTGCTCAAAATTTATTTATTTAGTATGTCTATTTTGTGCACTTCAAGATCTCTGGATTTGGGTAGAAAGATCTTCCCAATTCCTATATTGAAATTTTTTGAGGAAGGGATATAGTTGTGTGCTGGAGGGCATGCCTAGCTTGTAGAAGGCTCTCGGTTCCATCCCTATCACTACAAAAAGACATAATGTCATTAATCAAACTAATCTAATAAACACTTATAAGTATTCTGTATGTGTCATTGATGTTGTACATCCATGTGTCATATATATTGTAGGCATTTAGGATTGAGATTCATTCTTCTTTGTAAGTCCAGAGTTTCAGTTAGTGTCACTTTCTTTTTGCCTGGGGAATTTTGTTACTTTTTCATGTAGTGCACATTGCATTCTGGGAATGAATTCACTAATATTTGTTGACAATACCTTTACTTCACTTTTGTTTTTGAGAAAATATTTTCACTGGATATAGTTGGCTGGGTTTTTTTTAAAGGAATCATTCAATTATCTTCTGGATTATATAGTTTCCAATGAGAAGATTTCTATCTTTCTTACATCTTATGCACATGCGTCTTCTTACCTTTAATTCCTGGAGCAGTTGTTAAAAATTTCACCCTTTTTATCACTGAGTTTTGAAGTTGATTGTTATTTGCCTTAGTCTAGTTTTCTTTGGCTAGTCTACTCAGATTTTGCTGATATTCTTGGATCTGTAGGTTCATCATTTTAAGCAACTTTGAGAACATTTTCGTTATATATCATCTAATATTTTTGTTCTCCTCCATGCTTTTGGGCTCCAATTATACATATGTTGAACTTTTGATTGAAGATTTGTTCATTTTTTTCCAGTTTGTATTTGTCTGTTCTTTATTTTGGATAACTTTTATTGGCACATTTTCAAGGTTTTCAAATATATTTGTATTTCCTTTCGTAGGGTCATATCTCACTAATCCTGATGAGTACTTTTTGGAATTTTAGATTGTATATTTATTTATTTGTGTAAGATTCCATCTGGGTCTTAAAAATTCATTTATCTCTACATAATGTTCTTGTTTTATTTATATTTTTGTGTATATAAGTATGTTTAGAAATCTTAACCTTTGTCTGCTAAGTTGAGCATTTTTTTCACAACTTGATATGCTTCTATGCTTTGGTTGATTTATGTTATTGTGTGAATTGTGTTTTATTTTTTCCTAACTGGTAATCTTTCATTAAGTGTTAGATAGTTTGAAATTTATATGGGAATAAAAAGAAATTTACATGGGTAGGTGGTGGATTGTGAGCGTGTTGTTATTTTAAAGTAGTGGGATATTGCTGTTGGTGTCTAGAGATGGGAACAAAGAAAGCTGCCAAACATCTTATAATTACCACTAAGAATTCTAACAGATATAGAACAACTCTACATGAAAAAGAATTACCTAGCTCAAAATGTCTTTTCTAAAGAATATTGAACCTAGTTCTGACATGAAGTTAAGCCAATTGAGACCAATACATTCTATTCAAGGGTGATTCTAAGCCTTGTTAGTAAACATCTAGAATAGTGTTTAATGTAGGAATAATTTCATCCACTATTAATGCAATGTCTCCTGAGGAGACTATTTAATACTCTGTATCTTAAGAATCCCTTGTTTTCTTCTTTCTTTCTTTCTTTCTTTCTTTCTTTCTTTCTTTCTTTCTTTCTTTTTGTATTTTAGGGAAGGGTCTACAGGATGTTCAAGGTCTCACTACTAGATCCGACTTGTAGTGATTCGCCTGTTTACAGCCTTTCAAGAACTGGGATTACAGGCATGCACCACCATGCCTGGTCTCAATTGCCATCTCAGTACACCTCAGAGGCTGGGCTGGCATGACAGGTTTGGGAATTGAACCCCTGGCCCCTGCATGGCTTGTAGTGAGACCTTGAACATCCTGTAGACCCTTATCTGAATTTGTGTATCAATTCTAGTAGCTTCTTGGAGTTTTTTTTGGTCTTCCAGGTAGAGCATCATGTGACCTGCAAATAATGATAGCTTCACTTCTTCTTTACCTATTCTTATTCCTCTTATTTCTCTCTCATGTCTAATGGCTCTAGCTCAAGATTCCAGAACTATATTGAATAGGAGTGGTGATAGAGGACATCCTTGTATTATACCAGATCTGAGAGTAAAAGATTTCAGTTTTTCCCCATTTATAATCATGCTGGCTGTTGAATTGTCATAGATGGCTTTTATCAGATTGAGATAGAGGCCATGTATTCTAATATTCAGGGGGACTTTGATCATGAATGAGTATTGAATTTCATTAAAGGCCTTTTCTGCATCAATTGAGATGATCATGTGGTTTTTGTATTTGGCTCTACTGATATAATGTATTACACTCATAGATTTGCATATGTTGAACCATCCTTGCATTCCTAGGATGAATCCTACCTGGTCATGGTGCATAATCTTCTTGATGATTTTCTGTATTCTATTTGGTAGGATTTTATTGAGGACTTTTACATTTATTTTCATGAGGGAGATTTGCCTGTACTTCTTTTTTAGTTGGATCTTTCTCTCATTTTGGTATCAGTTTAATACTTGCCTCCAGGAATGATTCTTGGGGTTATTGCTTCCTTTTTTGTTTCATTGATGATTTTGCAGAATACTGAGATTAAATCTTCTGTAAATTTCTTGTACAATTCATCGGTGAATCCATTAGGACCTGAGCTTTTCTTTGTCAATAAATTTCTTATTACATTTTCAATTTCATGACTGATATTGGGTTATTGAAAATTCTTATATCTTCTTGATTCAGTTTTGTTAATTTTTATCTTTCTAGGAATCTGTCCATTCCTTCTGTGTCTTCAATTCTGTTAGTGTAAAGATTTTCAAAGTAGCTATTGATGATCTTCTGAATTTCCACAAGGTCTGTAGTAATTTCACCTTTTTCATTCTTTATTGCTCGTATTTGA